GGCGGTAGGTCCAGCACACTGGCAAACTCTTTTGGAAATGAATTCTTAAAATTTTGTTTATAATATGAAATACAGTCTGACCATCAAAAAGAAGATGCTTTTTGTTATGTTTGTAAGTCACATGAACACTATACAAAGCTTTGCAAAGAAATCAAAGCAACAACTGCTCATAAAGGGCTTACTCTGCACCAGGCATTGTTCTAAATTTTTATACATATTAACCAATTTAATCCTTCCAATGACCCTCTGGGTCATTATAATTATCTCCATTTTATAGATGAGAACACTGAGGCCCAGAAATTTTTTTTGGTATCATTAATGTACAATTACATGAGGAACATTATGTTTAGTATACTCCCCCCATCACTAAGTTACCCCCACATACCCCATTACAGTCACTGTCCATCAGTGTAATAAGATGCTATAGAATCACTACTTGTCTTCTCTGTGTTGTATAGCCCTCCCCATGCCCCCCACACACATTATACATGCTAATCATAATGCCCCCTTTCTTCTGCCCCCCCATCCCTCCCTTCCCACCCATCCTCCCCAGTCCCTTTCCCTTTGGTAACTGTTAGTCCATTCTTGGGTTCTGTGATTCTGCTGCTGTTTTGTTCCTTCAGTTTTTTCTTTGTTCTTATACTCCACAGATGAGTGAAATCATTTGGTACTTGTCTTTCTCCACCTGGCTTATTTCACTGAGCATAATACCCTCTAGATTCATCCATGTTGTTGCAAATGGTAGGATTTGTCTTCTTATGGCTGAATAATATTCCATTGTGCATATGTACCACATCTTCTTTATCCATTCATCTACTGATGGACACTTAGGTTGCTTCCACTTCTTGGCTATTGTAAATAGTGCTCTGATAAACATAGGGGTGCATATGTCTTTTTCAAACTGTGAGTCCCAGCAATTTTAAGTGACTTCTCTAAAGCTTGTCAGTGGTGGAGCTGGCCTTGAACCTGGGCAATGTGGCTCCAGGTTGCCTTTTTCTGACCCCAGTGGGGCTGAGGCCTCCTTAATGTTTGCTTCTGACATAATGGAATTTAAAAGAACAGGAGGCAAGTAAAGGCATTTGTTGGAAAAAGAATCATGTTCCAGAGAGAACTGGCAATAAATATTGCTGATTGGCTGCCTGATAAGGATGGAATGGGGTTTGGAGAATTTCATTCTCTCATGAAATAAACATGTGATTTTGACCTTATAGAAATGACAGAAACTATTTAAAGCACCCCATTTTTATCTTTCCCCCTTTCAGCCTTCACTTTAGACCGGGATGCCCTGGCGGAATCTTGCTCAAAATTGGCTGTGGCTTCCCATGGGCTAAGACACATACAACCTGGAACAGGGGTACATTTTGATGTCCTCTGGGAATATCAAAAGGACAGCTGTGTGGCTTGCAAAAGCTTACAACTTCTTGCAAAAACCCCTTCATCTTCTTTTGTGGATGTAGGAAGTGAAGTCCAGAATGGTTAAATAAGACTTGCCAGATGCCAGAGAGGTGGACCTGAACATCTTCTAGAGGTGCCTCATTGAACTGCTCCCCATGATGGGGAAACCCCCCGGTCTTGGAGCCCCCCCATGGTCATTACACATATTGCAAACAGCTGTCCTGGACCGCAGCATCAGCATCACCTGGGAGCCGAGGAGAACTGCACTCTCAGCCAGCTGCTGAATCAGGATCTGTGTTTTAAGGAGGGTCCCACGGTAATCCATATGAGCAGTAAAGTTGGAGAAGCACTGGAATGGTCACTAATTCCATTTTCTAGATATTTTAGTTGTGGGGAGGGGAGTTGTTCTTGACTCCATACTGGTTATAAGCACATCAATCTCTTGAAAGGTAAGAGTCCCAACCTCACCTTGCAATTTAAGTTAAAATTATCTTCCTGATGCAAAATCATCTTTGGCTTGTTTTTAAGATCCAGTCATTCCTTGGTGTAGTAGCTATTAAAGCTTCAGATGTACAAAACCATGCTTCTTATGAGACCCAGAGAGAAATGGCCAATAGTCCCCCATCTTTACAGTAACTCACATTGGTACCTTCTGGATAAAATGAGAGTTCCTGTGGCCAGGATTCTCACCTGGCCATGGTTGGCTAGCTCACTGCACACCTGTGGGCAATACATGGCTGTTGACTCTATAAAAAGAGCTCTGCCCAGTGCTCTGGGCATGACATGGTGGCAGGGCTGCAAGGCTGCAGGAGAGCAGAGGCTGGAGTGGTGGCAGCGCCAAGGACAGAGGCCGAGAGGATGGCTGTGTGGGACGGCTGTGTAGAGAAGACCAGAGAATGGCTGTGCGGACAGAGGGGCCCAGAGGCAGAGACTGGCTTGCTGCATACAGACTCGCTCTTAGTGAATGGGATTCTAGTGACTGACCTGCCACCTGAAAATAAAGTTGGGTATAAGCCTTTCACCCTAAAGAACGTTTTGCTGTCAATTTTCTTTGGTCACACTGAATCCATAGCGAACTTGCCCGGGGCTGAAACCCATTGGCAAGACACACCTTTTCTTCAGAGCAGCCTGATTATCTTTCCCAAATCCCAGCAAGCGCCTTTAGTGTAGACAGCAAACATCAATCTCAGCCCAGCTCCTGCCCAAGTTAACACTAAGCAATCAAGATAGTAATAGGAACAGCTACCACTTAGGTGGAGCTTACAATGTGCCTGGCACTGATAGTAAAAAACATAATAATTTAATCCTCACAGCCATCCTATTTTATGGATGAGGACAATGAAGCACAGAGTCCATGTCTGTAACCACAGCACCATACTGCCTCTCAAAATTCAAATTAATTCTGCCCACAGTTCTAAGAGTTCCTTATTCAAATGCCCTTATAATAAAAACTGATCATTTACACAGGAGAATCTAATTCTCTTCAGAGATTTTACCTGACAGAGAGAAAAAAGAAACACTGGCGGCTACTAAGACATTATTTTACAAAGTTGAAACATTACCTCTGGTCTCTCATTCTTGGTTGTGATTGCAAGACCGTGCAGTCTGCTGCTTGGAAGCGCTTTAAAATGTCCTGCCTGTAATTGGAACCAGCTCCCACATTAAAATTGCATCGAGTTTTCTATAAATGAGAAGCAGTTGTGAACTCTAAGGATTCGTGATACTGCTGGCTTTGCTTCTCTATTAACTTGGTGGTTCTAACTTCTCTTTTTAGCTGCAGACAGCTCAACTCTTTTTCTAAATGAAATCTTAAGGACAATTCTAGTAAACACGAAGGGCAAAGGCTTGTGCTCTGAAGTGGAGAGGGGAAAATCCCCTGACCTCCACCATCCACTTCAGGATCCCTGAAGGCAGGCCGCTAGCACCCGGGAATCCTGAAGACACAGAACGTGGACACCACAGGGAACAGTGCGCCCCTTCTCTTCTGCGCTAATTCTGCTCTCCTCAGGTCTCCCTGCTGATCCTACACACAGGCTGTCGTTTGCCTTATACCAGGAAGACCTCACAGGACCGGAATTCTGCTCTTTGGAGCTGAAGGAAAGAAACTCTTGACCTACGGTAGAAAAGGGCACTGCCCCAGCTGGGCAAAACAGAACAGTTCACAGAACATGATGAAGGGTCATGTTTCCGACTGCAAAATCGGCCAGAGGCCTACCAGCGGTATAGACAGCAGTCAGATAGACATGTGTCATAGGGAGCGAATTTTGATTTTTCTTTTCCTTCAATTACTTCTGTTTGTACTGGAAACACAAAGCAAAATAAGGCATACATCTAGACCCAGTACAGGTAAAGAACTGTGGTTACAGTGCAAGAAATATCAAAACCAGTGAGTCCCAACCACTGATCCTGACTGACCCGTTAACCATAACATGCATCCCACTGAGTGGCTGGCGAGTAGCTGCTGCCAGGACATTATCCCTGGGAGTGCTGAGAGACAAAATTTAAATGGACATAAATTAGAGTTTAAAATAATCTCAAGTGCTGCTTGCCCACATGGACAATGGCAAAGCGGTTCTCAATATGCTGACCTCTCAACTCCAGAGGGCACGTGTGGGACTGGACGTCAGGGCCCCTCCCAGACCCCGAGATCCTTTGAACCATTTCTGCACCCCACCTGCTCCAAACTCAATGGCCGTAAGTAATGGCGAGAGGTAAGGGAGCATGAAGGCCCAGCTCCCTAGCCAGGAGTGGGTTGGCACCACTCGGGGGCAGACTGATCTCCCAGAGTCCCCGTCCTCTTTGGGACTTTGCATGAGATGAAACCCCTGCTTGGCTCCCTTCTCTTCCCTGTCCTGGTTCCTTTCTCTGCTCCCCTAGAGGGGCTTCCTTTAAAATCACACGCACATGAATTCTCATCTCGGCGTCTGCTTCTGGGAAATCCCACCTAAGGGGCCATGCTACCCAGCCTGCCATCCAGCCCACCACTACCTGGGTACGACTGCCACACCCTTTTCCTACCACACAGCTGTCCATCATCTTTAGCCTAAATTGACTTTATTTGATTAAAAATGTGGGACCCTAAACCTAAACATTATAAAGTCTCAGTTGAGAAGAATACAGGGCATGGCATGTATGGGTTAAATAAATGTTCCAATTAATTAAAAAAACCTTTTCTATGATGTAGTAGCATGCTTTCCTTCCTTACTAAGTGGAGCATATATAATTTAAATCCTCAGGGACCAGAGCAGGTTTGGGTTTTTGTTATTTTGTTTATTTCTTAAAGGTGGCAATTTCACAGCACCAAGGAGCCATAAAATTCCACTATAAGCAAAAGAAAATAGGCTAAATCTGCACATATGAAGATATACCTTGAAAATTTGCTTTTTGACCAAATTTTTTATATGAGCCTGCTTTCTTATAATTTTCCTAACACATGGGTTTGCATGTGGCCAAAAATTTCTGGGTTCTCTTAGGTTCTACTTATGCTGACACCTCGGAGGCAAGTTCGCCCCACAGGACATGAACTGTGGAAGCCCAGTGAGAGCTGAGGACCCAGATGGGGCCAGCTGTTGGTCACTGCACGCACACACAGCAGCACGCCTTACCTTTACTCCTAGGGCCTCTCCAGAAATAACAGCCACTATCACTCCATCCTGACTGGGTTTAGGGATTTCTTGGCTTTTCAGTTCCTGGTACTGAGGCTCCACCATCTTCTCTGAGCTCCTCAAATTAACCCACAGCTGGAGGCCATGGGCTGGCTCTTCTGAGCAAGGCATCTCGGCGTGCACAATGCCCCGGCCAGCAGTCATCCACTGCAAATATCAGACCAACAAGAAGGGACTGTCACCCAGCCTCTAACAAGTCTGTTGGCGGGGAGGGGGCAGTATGGCACTGGTGACTAGGCGAGGCCCCCTACTCATGCTCCTTCCAGAGTTCCTGGGCGCCCTGAGGAATCACAAAGCCGCAGGGACAAGACTGCAGCCCTTGCCAGCTTTCCACATGCCTCCCATGCTTCCTTCTTGCCTTCAAAGCATCAAATCTGGAATCCCCACAAAAGAAAGGATCTTCTCTTTGGATCCCCGAGTCTTAGACTGAGCCCTGAGATGGGGAGTTGCAGGCAGACAGTGTATTGGGGCGTACCCTTGGGAGCTACACCTTGAGAAGTGCAGAAACCGAGACTGATGGGGGAGAAGCCAACCAGCAATGTGGCTTCAACTGGGGCCTTAGCCGATCCAATGGGCAGCTCTGTCTAGAGCTGGATCAACCTTCACCTGCGTCCCAAAGTGAGGTGAGGGAGCTGGGCTTTTCTATCCCTGAATCAGCAAACCACCGACTGGGGCCACCCCGTCCCCACCAGATGGGTGGATTTTTCAAGTATTCATTTGTTTCTTTATTAAGAGCATACTAGGGGCCAGCCCCAGACAGTAGTCTCGGGAACCAGGTATGAAAGGATGGAACTTGACAGTTGCCCGCCCGGTTGGACCTGGGCACTTCCACAGAAGGTCCTGAGACAGGGACTGGGCTGAGCGCAGTTAGTGTATGTGGGAAGCGATGCAGTTAGCACAAGTGCAGGAGCAGTGAAGAGTGAGCCAGGCAAGGGAGAAAGCCAAAGCAGTGGTAATGAGCGGGTTACATCTGCGGATGCCTGGCCCAGCCCCACGGGAACCGTGCAGATGCACTTCAGAGCTGCGGCACAGGGTGGAGCGGAAGCTGGGGCGTTTGTCCACCACTCCCATCCTCCCTGACCAGAGTTCCCCTTGGGTGTTCAATCCCTGCACTTTTAGCTACTGAGTACCTGGGCAGCGGAAAGCCCTGAGCAGAGTAGCGGCACTTGAGATGGGAGTCACCCACACAGGGGACTGTCACCACCAGGTGGGTCAAAGGGCTACAGGGCTGGCCATCAAGAGCACCTGCCACACTGCCCTCAGGGAGACAATACCTCAAGCAATTACACAAGTGATGACTGACATGATGGTCGTGCTCTGCGCCATGGAGAAGAGAGGCCTCTGCGAGAGCCCAGGCAAGGCAGCTTACCTGAGGGGGCAACCTGCAGGCTGAGACCCGAGCAAGGAGGAGGAGCTGACCGGGGGAAGGGGAAGAGGAGGGGTCCACATAAAGGGAACAGTATGTGAAAAGACTCTGAGACAACAACGAGCGATATTAGTTCAAGGATCCGAAAGAAGGCCAGCACATATTTTAGAGTTTTCTTTCTTTCACTGAATCTAAATAGATTTCCCTCTATCTGACATTTGACAAGGCTGATGCAACCTTCTACCCCAGGGGTCTCAAATTACAGCCCAAGGGCCAAATCCAGCCTACCACCTGGTTCTGGACGTTGAGTTTGGTCAGCACACAGACACGCCCATGCATGGACATATACCGTCAGGTCTGCTTTCCTGCTACGAAGGCAGATGAGTATTTGCCTCCAACCATATGACTCACAAATATTTACTATGTGGTCATCATGGAAAACATTTGCTGGCCCCGGCTCTCCTGCAGTGTACAGTAGCTTCCCCTGCTAGAGGACAGCTGCAGGGCCGCCAGGACCCCTAGCCTCCTATCTGTGTTTCACTGCCTCTGCAACACTTCCTCTAGCCACATTTCCATCTGCCTTTCCTACCTTGGTTGGCCATTTTTTAGATATAACCCCGTCTGGCAATACCTTTCTTACTATTGCCCACCCATTGGATTTGGAGGGGAGAACAGAGTTTTCTTTTCAACCTCCCCACCTGTTATCCCTGAAGCCATGGAGATCTTTTTTTTTTAAACATCTTTATATCCCCATTCCCTCATTTTTAAAATGAGGTAAAAATAATACTTACCTTAGTGAGGTCATGCATGTGAAAATGCTGGCTAAACTGAAGGACACAATGCAATCATTCTCCTAATCAAATGTGAAATTCTAGTGGTAGAAGAGGTGTTGGCTAGTGCCTACCTAACATGTACAGCTGCAGAGGCAGCCTGATGGCAAGGGAAAAAGCCCAAAAGGGGTGTTAATGCACAGGTTACATCTGTGGGCACCTGCTGCTCAATCCTATTGGGAAGAAGGCAGATGCCCTTCAGAACTGCCACGTGGAGGGCAGAAGATTCGCCACCTCCCTGGTCAGGACACGCCAGTCATGATATCCACCTCTCGTTCTATGCCAGTGAGAGGGTACTGTTGACTTTGGGCCACAACTTTTTGTGCTCTTATTTTTCTGCCTTTAAATATCATATTCACTGAAATACCGTGATTCACATGTTTGCAGTTATCACGCCACATAATATATAAATGATCCCTGAAAGCACCTGATTCTGAGTTCTGACTTAGAAAACTGGCAAAGATGAGCCAGGCATTTCCTGGAGATTTTAATTCCGACACATCTCAGACAACTCTAGTATGGCAGTAGGGTTTAGGTCGCTGTCTTAGGTGACAACATCTACACTTGCAAACGAGTTGGAAGATAAATAGCAAAGTGCCTCAACTGCAGCAGAAAGGTCTGGAAACATGAGGACTGAAACTGGTACACTGCATATGGCAACTGGGATGTCACGTGTGACCATTCCCTGAACAAGTTCACTGAAGGTTTCAGGGGTTGCTGAGAGGCCAACCCTGACTTCAGCAAGTGAAGGACGAAATGGAAGCTAAGGAAGTTGAGACAGCCACTCTTGGGTACTCTTTTGAGAAAAGTGAGAAAAAAAACTAAGTAGGAGCTAAAAAATGATTGAGAGGGGTGGTCAAGGAAAGGTGGGGGGAATAAAAGAGACCCCCACACACAGGTTTTCAGGCTGAGCAGAAGGATCCACGGAAAGGGAGAGGTCAAAGATGTGAGAGAGAGGGAGGGAAGTGTGAATGTACCGGAAGTGGAGAGAGCAAGCATGCACACCCAAAGGCTATTAAGCCATCAGCAATTCCTTGTCCTTGGCCATACCTGCAGGTCTCCTGGGTTCATCTGACCAACGTGTCCACAGAAGTCTTCATGGGCCATGCTGCCCCCTTCCAGGAGGTAAGACACCTTAGAAACAATAAGCAGAAGAAAAAGTAGGTGTTGGGTAGTTGTTCACTTTTCTCCCCAGAAAATGTGTGAGAAAAAGTGTCAGGAGCAAGGGAGCAAGGGAATGAATCTAGTGACAGGGCCGTGCTAGCCCACACAAGGCTTTGGAGAGAATTTCAGACAGGCTCCCTGCCTGCCTCTGGACAGCTGCAGCCCTGAGCGTGCCAGAGCTCACAACCGGGGGGAGAGAAGCCCCACTGACGGGTCTGGCAGGTCAGGAAGTTCTCAGCATACACATCAGATAACTGCTGCTCCACACATTATGATCAATTCATAAATGTATGTTGTTGGTGAACTTACCTTAATTTCTTACTTTAAAAATACTCGGTCACAGGTTTTGTATCTGAACTGATCATCTTTTGGCTATTTCCCAAGTAAACAATTATATAGGAAAATGATAAAAAATCCATCGCCTCTTGTGATTTATAAAACAAGTTTATGAATTTTCACATTAAAAAAAGATTAGTTAAGTCTACTTTTTCTGCCTTAGGACGAAGCAAAAACATATACTACAAAAACAGTCTAGCCTAGACATATGTAATGGATCCTGCTATGCAGGAGGAAATCACAATTTTATTTGTGTGGAGCAGCAGTTATCTGATGTGTATGCTGAGAACTTCCTAAGTTCTCTTCTCTCACCTCTTGGGTGTAATTTTTTGTTTTTCTGTCTTACATATAATATTTTTACTCTGTTTCTTTTTGTGGTTTTAGGAAATTGTGATTTGTTGGTAAAAATATTATTTATTCATTTTATGTACTGTTTTAAATGGTTATATTTGGTAGAATGGGTCTTTGAGTGAAAATTAGACTGGCTTAGATTGTTACAAGAGATGGTGGGATTTTAACTGCAGACTGCATTTTCTGGTTCACTCCCTTGCTCCTGACACTTTTCCTCACACATTTTCTGGGGAGAAAAGTGAACACCACCACTCCCACCCTCGGCCACTTCTCAGGCTTTGGGTCTCAGGCTGAATTGAACCACTGGCTGTCCTGGCTCTCTAGCTGGCTGACGGCAGGTCATGAGACTTCACCTCCATAACCACGTGAGCCATTTCCTATAATAAATCTCCTCAGATATTTATCTCTATATATACTGTTGGATTTGTTTCTTTGGAGAAACCTGACTAGGTTTTAAGTCTAAAACTCCCACCTGGGAAATTGCTATAGTATGTGTGGGAAATTAATATATGATGACAGCAATTTCAAATCAGGTGGGGCAAGGACACATTTTCCCATCAAGTTTTGGAACAACTGACTGACCGTATGTAAAACATGTTCCAAATGGATTAAGGATTTAATGTAAAAAAATATACTTCTAAGATTTAAATCTAAGGAGACAAGACTACAAAATGCACAAATCTGTAATACCAAAAAGAAAGGAACAATCTGGATGATGGGCTTAACAGGATACCTTAGCTAAATTATTCTACAGCCACACAAGGGAATATTACACAGCTGTTAAAAGTTATATGGATCTGTGTTTACTGACACAGTAAAATATTATTTCAGAAAAGCAGGTTACAGGACAGCAATTTTGTTTAAAAGGGTCAAATTCAATGAGGTATTTAAATAGATTCATTTACATAAAACTGTATCTAGTCATGTTACAGTATGCATGCGGGTGCCTACATGGACACACGCAAATGTGCCCAGGGGTCAAATCCATCCGGAGAATGGAACTGCAGGTATGTTTTATTGTCTTCTTTCCACTTTTCTGATGGTTTGGATTTCCTGTAATGAATAGTTTATTTTTTTACAACAGAAATTTTTTATTTTGGAAAAACACAAAGATGCTGCCACTCATCAGTTGAATGAAAATATGCTTTGTTCTGCAGAGATGCTGGTGAATTTGTTCTCTCTTTAGGTAAACTGGGGCTGGACAGGAAGGCCATGAGCCATCAGGGAAAACACTAAGAATCCGAGAGGAATGACCCCATGTGGCATGTGAGAACACACAGCTAGCTCTGACTTCATGTTACTAGAAGGAAAAGGCCTGGAATTATTATAAAGGGCACTCATGCCAAAACAGGAATTAAGCACTTAGGACCCCATACAAAGCTTAAACTTAAGAGGACAAATAAAAAGGTTCCAAATTTCAAACAGCCAGCCAAACCAGACAGAGCAATGTCTAGAATTGCTTTCCTTTTCTTTTATATATACATTTTTTATTTCAATAACTGCATAATAAAGGCAATTTTCCTTCTTGGGCTGCCAGCTCTCTTTGGGGGTTCTCAAAGGAGTCCCCCTCAAATTATATTCCTTATATCCCCCCCAAACTTTTCAATTAGCCAAGCCTAGCCTAGGGGCTTTCAAGCTGCTAATCATCTAAAATGATGTCAGGCAACCGTACAAAGTAAATTGTGGTGAGCACGACTCATTTAAAGATGAAAATTTACATGGACACCAGGAGAGGGTTTTTTTGTTGTGTTTTTGCAAATTTTATTTTAGAGAGCAAGCCCAACCCTGGTCCTGTAAGACTGAGCAGATATTATGCCTCCTTTTCCTCTACTTTTGCTGTGTGGATGACCTCCTTTCTCTAGTAATACAAAAGTAAGCATCATTTCTCCCATCCTAAATACTATAAAATCTGAATTAGAGAAGATTGGTCAATGAAGCTTTACTGAGTCCATCCATAATGTTGACCTTTTACTACTTCAAGGAAAAATTATACTTTTAGCCTTTGGGGGGAAAAAAAACAGAAATCAAGGAAACTGCTGACTATTTATTATCTTTTATTGAGTTCTGCTAAATGCTGTAAGTGCTTAAGTATAAATTAATGCCTACTGAGGATTTTTTTTTTTAACTCAAGCAGTACTTCAAGAGTTGATACAATCCAGCTGACTTTTTAGGACATTCATAATCGCAAACACCTGGAGAATTGCCGTGGGTGGTAGACGGAATCAGGAGTGTTGTGTTCAAACTCCAGAGTGGCGTGTGTCTAATGAAGTAAGAAATCTGGAATCTCAAACAGGCGTTCTCATAAAGGACTTGCCATGCTTCTGGAAGTCCTTTCCTTCTTCAAGTCATAAATTTTCCATGAGTCTTTACTAAATCTTTCTGCTTCCTTGTCAGTTCTTATTTCTGTGTGTGTTGTATTTGGAAGGAAAAGGACAGAAATCCACACCAATAATGAAAGAAACGTGTCACTTGCTATGTGAAACTTAGGAAAGGTGTACCTCAAGGAGCTATAAATTCATTCTGAAGAATTACTGCACAAGATAAAATTTGTTTCTTTCTCTCTGCCTGGTATTTAGAAGGAAGAGTGTGACGATGGTGTTACACACGTGAGACTTATTTTTTAAAGCAAGAAGTTTATAGTACCGATAAAACTGTTTCTTTGAATTTCCATTCACCCTAAAGTGGTGGCTTTTTTTCTATTGGTAGCTGAGTTGGAAAAAGAGAAAAACCAAAACAGGAGTTGAGGTCCTGGCTGATGAGAGGCCAGCAGGGACCACGTTGCACAAGAGAAGTGACTAGCTGGCCTGCAAGGGTTCAAAGCGTAATGTTTGAATCCACACAATTAAGGACCCAAGCTATTTTACAGATTTGTTTTAATAAAGAGCAATCATTGAGAAACCTGGAAAATCAGCTCACCCAATCCCACATAACACTGTCACAAGTCCCAAAAGGTGGTTTTAGCAGAAAAGGAAAAGATAACCAACATGGTTTAGGTATTCAGCCAAATATTTTAAAGTTCTACCAGGTCCTGCACTGTCATTTCCTGCCCCAGCCCTGCAGGAGTGCCAATGCTTTGGGGCAGCCTGCGACGCTGCCCCCTGCTGGTGGGGCCCTGCCTAGGGGAACGGCTCTGGCTTTCTGGTCCTTCCTGGAATCTCAGGTTTGCCTTTCACGATGGGTGAGATGTGGGGTGAAGTCCTTTAACTTCTTTAGAGCCTCAGTTTCTTCAAGCACAACAAAGACCCAGGAGATGACCTCACCAAGTGTGCTGAGGACTAAATGGGTCAGGTGTGCAAAGTACCCGGCACACACCAAGTGTTAGTTCTAGAATTTGTACATCTGACACTTCCTGGGGCAGAGGGTCCTCCCTCAGATCCTCACTCGCTTCTTGACATGTATTTACCCCCACAGTCTCATGGTCTGCTTCCTCACTTCATTTAAGCTTCTCTTCAAATGTCACCACCTAAGAAAGGCTGCCCCCAACCAGCCCATCAAATCAGTCAATCTGTTCTTTATCCTTCCACCCTAATTTGTTTCTTCTTCCTAACTTTTCCATGAAGGGACACTGTCCATATAATTATTTGGTTATTTACTTATAGTCTGTCTTCCCTAAGAGAGTGTAGCCTCCCAAAGGTTGCAGCATACAGCTGGCACTGAAGACTTGTTGAATGAATGAATGAATGAATGAATGAATAGTAGCATCTTCAATAGGCACAGCATTTCAGGATCTACAAAGCATCTGATCCTGAGAATGTATTATTATCTACATGTTCTTGATGAAAGCACTGTGGCTTAGTATGATTAGGCTTACACATTAATAATAGCAGAGCAAGGACTTAAATTAACACTTTCTGTCTCTGATAATAAAACTCTTTCCACCATCCCACGGTGCCTCACAAATGCTGATGCCCTCTCAGCAGTAACCTATGCACTGTGAGCCCAGGGCTCACCTTCCAGGAGAGATCTGACAAGAGTCACAAGAGCAGCCAGGATTGCCACCTGCAGGGCCTTCTGGTGAACTGGCCACTTCTGGCAAAGAAAGGGTCTTTGTGCCACTGTACACAAAGCTGCAAATGCGCCTCACGGTTCCAGGGTAAGGTGGAAAAGAGGCTGATGGAGGGACAGGCAGCCACAGGATCCTGAGATAAGGTGATCGTGGTGTAACTCCAGGGGTGTAGGAGGGAATAAGTTCCCAGCCCAGGGCAAATAAACCTTTGAAGCCAAAATCAGTCAAAGGGAGAAATAAACTGGGAGAAATCCATTTACTGCTTACAAGCAGTCAT